TTTCGACGTTGTGAAGAGATACAGGTAATTCAAAAGTCATTGGCACTGTGGCAAGCATGTTTGAAAAGTAATCAGCCCAGCTACTACATGTTCCCAACACTGTTACAACACATTGAGGAGAATACCACCAGTAAGGAAAATGTGAATGAAATGAAAACTATCATACAGTTACATCTCGCTGCTCTGTCTGACAGTTTTAGTCACTATTTCCCAATAAAGGAATTTGAATATTTGAATGAAAAATGCTGGGTGAAAGATCCTTTTGCTTTCAAAAACCCTGAGGCAACAAATGGAGCTAAATCTGGCACCTGAGCAAGAGAAAAAACTGCTGCGTCTCACCTGTGATAACACTCTGAAAATACGGCACAAGTCAATAAACTTGTCGTCATTTTGGATCAGTGTTTCCAAAGAATACCCACAGCTAAGTAAATTAAGTGTGCTCTTGCTACTGCCTTTCACAACAACCTAAATGCGTGCAGTTAGATTTTCAACTTTGACAGGATTAAAAACCAAAGAAAGAAACTGACTGAGCTGTGTACCTGATATGCGGGTAGCTCTTTCATCCTGTGATCTTGACTGGAATGAGATCCTGAGGAACAAACAGGCCCACCAGTCACATTAAGTAAGTGAAACTCAACCTGACCACCTTTATATAGTGTTTTGTTTAAAAGTAATGGCTTTGTCTAGTGTTAGTTACGTAAAATGAGTTAAACTGGAATGTATTGCGTTATTGCGATTTTATGGACACTCTAGTCAAAAGATATAATTATTCTGGGTCATGGGCATCAACAATTTTCTTCACCTGGGTTGCGAGAAAAAAAGTTTGAAAACCACTGATGTAGACCAACCCTGAGAGTGTTTGTCTAACCTTCTCTTTAAAATCTCCAATGATGGAGATTCCACAACCTCCCTAGGCAATTTATTCCAGTGCTAAACCACCCTGAGAGTTTGGAAGTTTTTCCTAATGTCCAACCTAAACCTCCCCTGATGCAATTTAAGTCCATTGCTTCTTGTCCTATCCTCAGCAGTTAAGAACAACAATTTTTCTCCCTCCTCCTTGTAACAACCTTTTATGTACTTGAAAACTGTTATCATGTCTCCTCTCAGTCTTCTCTTTTCCAGACTAAACAAACCCAATTTTTTCAATCTTCCCTCAGAGGTCATGTTTTCTAGACCTTTAATCATTTTGTTGCTCTTCTCTGGACTTTCTCCAATTTGTCCACATCTTTCCTGAAACGTGGGACCCAGAACTGGACACAATACTCCAGTTGAGGCCTAATCAGTGCGGAGTAGAATTACTTCTTGTGTCTTGCTTACAATACTCCCACTAATATATCCCAAAATTATGTTCATTTTTTTGCAACAGTGTTACACTGTTGACTCATATTTAGCTTGTGGGTCCACTATGACGCCCAGATCCCTTTCTGCAGTACTCCTTCTTAGGCAGTCATTTCCTATTTTCTACGTCTGCAACTGATTGTTCCTTCCTAAGTGGAGGCCTTTACATTTGTCCTTATTGAATTTCATCCTATTTACTTCAGACCATTTCTCCAATTTGTCCATATCCTCTAAAGCACTTGTAAACCCTCCCAGCTGGTATCATCCGCAAACTTTGTAAGTGTACTCTCTATGCCATATCTCCATATATTATTTTGTGTATTTAATTAAATACCAGTTACCATCCTACCGCAGCTTCACACAAATCATGAACAAAAAGTTAATTTCCCAGTAAATAAGTAGTATATTATTCACCATTTTCTAACATACTAAAACTTTACAATTAATAATCTCAAAATATTGAGCTATATAATTGCTTAGATAAATGTATATAGTTACAATGTATATATGTAGCAAATCTAGTGTATTTTTACCCTGCATGCAAAAAAGCAATGAAAACTAACTACACCGTTAATAAAAGAAGGAAATATAAAAGGCAAAAAGAATCCAAGAATAACTATACTTTGTGATGCCTTTTAGGGGCTGACATAAGAAAGTAGAAAAAATGTTCACTGATTTGGTGAATTTAATGTGGCAAATGAAAGTATAATACACTGCTAATTAAACAATGCTCCTGTGGTAGTTAAAATAATAGTATTTTTGCTCATTTTTTTCCCCACTAGAGAAATGTGCTTGAGCTACAATACTGAGTGTTCAGGAACTTATCACAGACACAGATGTGTACATACGGATGTGGGGAGGGGGAGCACGACAACATTTCTGAGGGCAAACAAAGATTCCAGATATACAGACCTATACAACTTCTCTATAAGCAAGAAGCAAGCAAACAAAAAACATTCTCAACCCCACAACTTCATATTGCTTAAGAAACAACAAAATAGTGCCTCCAAGACAGATGGCTTCAGTTCTGCTTTTTACTCACATGGTTTGTATGTGTGAAACACATAGGGTAAAGAATCTGGGTGTTGTATTGTAAATACAGTATTATGTTTTCTTCAACCAATTAATTTACAGTATCACCTTCATTCACTTGCTAGATACCTTGGCAGCAAGTGAGAACAAGTGTGGGGTGCAGCCTTTAAAGCTTTAGAAAGGAGAAATCCTAAAGCAGCTTACTATGTATTAAACCATTTGTTCTTTGAGAGAAAATTGAAAAAAAATATTTTTCATATAGAGGCTCATGAGCCACCCAAGCTAGCAATCAAATTCATTGTTTAGAGACAAACATTTAATTAAAATACTTTCCTAAATATTGTATAACAATGAATTTTTTGCTACAGTTTATGTGAGTGGCAACCTTACTTGAATGTCAATAAAGTATAGTACATACATATAATCACTCTTGTTATTATACCAGCATACATATTTTTAAACACACACCCATCATGAAGTAGTTCCAAATTCTTCACTTGATTTTTTTCCCCCACAGGTACACATACAGAGCTCCTGTTTACCTATAAAAAAAACTGTTTTTTTCCCTCCAGACCCCACTACTATTCTGAATATTTATTTTATTTGTACTACTTATATTTATGATACTAAAATAATTTAATTTTATACAGGAGTATGTAATATATTAGGCATATAGCCAATAAGTAGATCCAAGACCTCTAGTAAAACTGCACTGTCTTCACTCTTTGTGGTAAACATTCAGAATAGTGGTTTAGCCTCACAGCTCATTAAACCTTAATCAGAGCCCTGCTGCTAAATCCTTCCTTCCACACAGCACTAAAAAAGTATCCCTTCCTCTCCTAACTCTTACCTAATCATCTTGATTGCTGCATGGCCGTTTCCTATAGTTTAAAGCCCCTATACTATAGACTTACTTGCTTTAAACATCTGAGTAGCCCCACAGCCTTCAGTAGGACTTACATTTTAAATGTAAGTATATGCATGAATCCATATCATTAGCTACTCCAGATCATCAGACAGGGAACCTCACTGTAAATTGTTGCTGATACCGGGAATCAGAACAATAGTCTAGAATTGTTATAATGTTGGCATCACTATTGCTACACACAATTACAAGAAGAACCTCTTTGCCCGTGACCACTTTGGGGCTGAAGAAATGTGAAGGCTGGAATAAGGAGCCCTCTCAGCCTTGCTTGACTTTTGTTCATGAATCAAATGATTTAGCTTTTTTTTTCTCTATCCCCTCTAGAAGCAGCAAGGAGGTGGTCCCCTTTAAACATAGCTACTCAAGACAGGCTATGATTTTCTTCCCTTTACAGGACCACCCAGATTCTCCATAGTGAAATGCATTCTGTACCAGACACATTAAACTATTTCATAATTTTCTTCAGACTGCAAAGACTTACAATCCTACAATACATTTATCACCATCAGCCACTGCTAGCACATAAACAGAACATATATAATGGGCCAAATGGACACATATAAGGAGAGAGAGAGTTAGAAAAAGAAATGTTGTGGAACCCCAAGCATTACATAATCCTGACTCAGGCTCACAAATAAATAAAATAAAGTAAAACAAAATAAAATAAAACCACAAGATTGGCTTTAAAATAGTGATAAAAAATACTTTGGGGGTTCTTTTAATTTTCTTTCTGGTTTCTGGGCCTTTAAGATTCCATTAAAAAAAAACCTTGAAAACATGAATCTCAAGGGCTAGAAACTTAATTCTTTGGATCAAAATGAAAGCTGAGATTCTCACAATCATAACTCCAGGAGCTGGGGATTTTAAGAAAAACATCAGTGAACATGAGCCTTGTATAAGAGTGACTACACAACACAGGCAGTTTGTCCTACTGGCTATGGCCCTAGACTGGCCCTTAGGAAAGCTGGGTTCTAAGCCTGGGCTCTGTCACTGGCCTGTTAAGAGAACTTTAACTGCAACGAAATGCTATGCTTCAGTTTTCCCATCTGGTAAATGGGAATAATGATATTTCTCCTCCTTTACAAAGCACTCTGAACTCTAGAGCTGAAGAAGTACTATATGAAGAGTGAGGTATGATTATTAACAACATGAAGATGAAGTGGAAATGAACTAAATTATTTTTTCCTGAGTTAGGGAGGATAGATGCTGCTCAGGTGATAGAATAAGACACAAACTAAAGTTATATGATAAAATATGTCTATCTTTTAACATGTTAAAACAACACATTAGATCAACCATTAATTTACATATCTAATTGTGCACATATATTAATTATGAAAAAGTTGGTATACATTAACCCAGTGGCCCCACTACACTATATAACTGACACAGAGAGTATTCCATAACCTGGAATAACAACTGATCAGAGGGGATAGTTGGGGGCACAGAGAGGAGAGAGGAATTGCATGTTCACCCACATGAAACCCACATACCTGGATTGTATCCAGTTGGAGTGCATTTCACCCATCCTGAACAGCAATATAATTCTTGTCTCCCTGTTATCTGTACTATGGGTGAATTCATCCCTGTGCAGAGACCAATACAAGAACTATGTATCACTTCAGTCACATTTCTTCACCCCCAGACGAAGAATATTGCCTCAATGCTTCCATCTCCTTCTCCATCTCCCAGCCCTGGTCTACACTAGGACTTTAGGTCGAATTTAGCAGCGTTAAATCGATTTAAACCTGCACCCGTCCACACAATGAAGCCCTTTATTTCGACTTAAAGGGCTCTTAAAATCGATTTCCTTACTCCACCCCTGACAAGTGGATTAGCGCTTAAATCGACGTTGCTGGCTCGAATTTGGGGTACTGTGGACACAATTCGATGGTATTGGCCTCCGGGAGCTATCCCAGAGTGCTCCATTCTGACCGCTCTGGACAGCACTCTCAACTCAGATGCACTGGCCAGGTAGACAGGAAAAGAACCGCGAACTTTTGAATCTCATTTCCTGTTTGGCCAGCGTGGCAAGCTGCAGGTGACCATGCAGAGCTCATCAGCACAGGTGACCATGATGGAGTCCCAGAATCGCAAAAGAGCTCCAGCATGGACCGAACGGGAGGTACGGGATCTGATCGCTGTTTGGGGAGAGGAATCCGTGCTATCAGAACTCCGTTCCAGTTTTTGAAATGCCAAAACCTTTCTGAAAATCTCCCAGGGCATGAAGGACAGAGGCCATAACAGGGACCCGAAGCAGTGCCGCATGAAACTGAAGGAGCTGAGGCAAGTCTACCAGAAAACCAGAGAGGCGAACAGCTGCTCTGGGTCAGAGCCCCAAACATGCCGCTTCTATGATGAGCTGCATGCCATTTTAGGGGGTTCAGCCACCACTACCCCAGCCGTGTTGTTTGACTCCTTCAATGGAGATGGAGGCAATACGGAAGTAGGTTTTGGGGACGAAGAAGATGATGATGAGGAGGAGGTTGTAGATAGCTCACAGCAAGCAAGCGGAGAAACCGGTTTTCCCGACAGCCAGGAACTGTTTCTCACCCTAGACCTGGAGCCAGTACCCCCCGAACCCACCCAAGGCTGCCTCCTGGACTCAGCAGGCGGAGAAGGGACCTCTGGTGAGTGTACCTTTTAAAATGCTATACATGGTTTAAAAGCAAGCATGTGAAAGGATTACTTTGCCCTGGCATTGGCGGCTCTCCTAGATGTAGTCCTAAAGCCTTTGCAAAAGGTTTCTGGGGAGGGCAGCCTTATTTCGTCCTTCATGGTAGGACACTTTACCACTCCAGGCCAGTAACACGTACTCGGGAATCACTGTAGAACAAAGCATTGCAGTGTATGTTTGCTGGCATTCAACCAAAATCCGTTCACGCAGTGGGAGGAGGCAAAATGCGACCTTGTAACGAAAGCACATGTGCTATGTATGTAATGTTAACAGCAAGGTTTACCCTGAAAGAGTGTAGCGACTGTTTTATAAAATGTGTCTTTTTAAATACCACTGTCCCTTTTTTTTTCTCCACCAGCTGCATGTGTTTCAATGATCACAGGATCTTCTCCTTCCCAGAGGCTAGTGAAGCTTAGAAAGAAAAAAAAACGCACTCGCGATGAAATGTTCTCCGAGCTCATGCTGTCCTCCCACACTGACAGAGCACAGACGAATGCGTGGAGGCAAATAATGTCAGAGTGCAGGAAAGCACAAAATGACCAGGAGGAGAGGTGGAGGGCTGAAGAGAGTAAGTGGCGGACTGAAGAGAGTAAGTGGCGGGGTGAAGACAGGGCTGAAGCTCAAATGTGGCGGCAGCGTGATGAGAGGAGGCAGGATTCAATGCTGAGGCTGCTGCAGGACCAAACCAGTATGCTCCAGTGTATGGTTGAGCTGCAGCAAAGGCAGCTGGAGCACAGACTGCCACTGCTGCCCCTCTGTAACCAACCGCCCTCCTCCCCAAGTTCCATAGCCTCCACACCCAGACGCCCAAGAACGCGGTGGGGGGGCCTCCGGCCAACCAGCCACTCCACCACAGAGGATTGCCCAAAAAAAAGAAGGCTGTCATTCAATAAATTTTAAAGTTGTAAACTTTTAAAGTGCTGTGCTTAAAGTGCTGTGTGGCATTTTCCTTCCCTCCTCCACCACCCCTCCTGGGATACCTTGGTAGTCATCTCCCTGTTTGTGTGATGAATGAATAACGAATGCATGACTGTGAAGCAGCAATGACTTTATTGCCTCTGCAAGCAATGATTAAAGGGAGGAGGGGAGGGTGGTTAGCTTAAAGGGAAGTAGAGTGAACCAAGGGGCGGGGGGTTTCATCAAGGAGAAACAAACAGAACTTTCACACCGTAGCCTGGCCAGTCATGAAACTGGTTTTCAAAGCTTCTCTGATGCGTACCGCGCCCTCCTGTGCTCTTCTAACCGCCCTGGTGTCTGGCTGCGCGTAACCAGCAGCTAGGCGATTTGCCTCAACCTCCCACCCCGCCATAAACGTCTCCCCCTTACTCTCACAGATATTGTGGAGCACACAGCAAGCAGTAATAACAGTGGGAATATTGGTTTCGCTGAGGTCTAAGCGAGTCATTAAACTGCGCCAGCGCGCCTTTAAACGTCCAAATGCACATTCTACCACCATTCTGCACTTGCTCAGCCTGTAGTTGAACAGCTCCTGACTACTGTCCAGGCTGCCTGTGTACGGCTTCATGAGCCATGGCATTAAGGGGTAGGCTGGGTCCCCAAGGATACATATAGGCATTTCAACATCCCCAACAGTTATTTTCTGGTCTGGGAATAAAGTCCCTTCCTGCAGCTTTTGAAACAGACCAGAGTTCCTGAAGATGCGAGCATCATGCACCTTTCCCGGCCATCCCACATTGATGTTGGTGAAACGTCCCTTGTGATCCACCAGAGCTTGCAGCACTATCGAAAAGTACCCCTTGCGGTTTATGTACTCGGCGGCTTGGTGCTCCGGTGCCAAGATAGGGATATGGGTTCCATCTATAGCCCCACCACAGTTAGGGAATCCCATTGCAGCAAAGCCATCCACTATGACCTGCACATTTCCCAGGGTCACTACCCTTGATATCAGCAGATCTTTGATTGCGTGGGCTACTTGCATCACAGCAGCCCCCACAGTAGATTTGCCCACTCCAAATTGATTCCCAACTGACCGGTAGCTGTCTGGCGCTGCAAGCTTCCACAGGGTTATCGCCACTCGCTTCTCAACTGTGTGGGCTGCTCTCATCTTGGTATTCATGCGCTTCAGGGCAGGGGAAAGCAAGTCACAAAGTTCCATGAAAGTGCCCTTACGCATGCGAAAGTTTCGCAGCCACTGGGAATCGTCCCAGACCTGCAACACTATGCGGTCCCACCAGTCTGTGCTTGTTTCCCGAGCCCAGAATTGGCGTTCCACAGCATGAACCTGCCCCATTAGCACCATGATGCATGCATTGTCAGGGCCCATGCTTTCAGAGAAATCTGTGTCCATGTCCTGATCACTCACGGGACCGCGCTGACGTCGCCTCCTCGCCCGGTATCGCGTTGCCATGTTCTGGTGCTGCATATACTGCTGGATAATGCGTGTGGTGGTTAATGTGCTCCTAATTGCCAAAGTGAGCTGAGCGGGCTCCATGCTTGCCGTGGTATGGCGTCTGCACAGGTAACTCAGGAAAAAAGGCGCGAAATGATTGTCTGCCCTTGCTTTCACGGGGGGGGGAGGGAGGGAACGGGGGCCTGACGATATGTACCCAGAACCACCCGCGACAATGTTTTAGCCCCATCAGGCATTGGGATCTCAACCCAGAATTCCAATGGGCAGCGGAGACTGCGGGAACTGTGGGATAGCTACCCACAGTGCAACGCTCCGGAAGTCGACGCTTGCCTCGGTACTGTGGAAGCGCTCCGCCGAGTTAATGCACTTAATGCACTTAGAGCATTTTCTGTGGGGACACACACACTCGAATATATAAAACCGATTTCTAAAAAACCGACTTCTATAAATTCGACCTAATTTCGTAGTGTAGACATACCCCCAGAGAGTTACAACATAGTGAAGGAGCTCCCGCCACCTTCTAAGGTTTGTGGAGGGTAAAAAAGGACAAGACAGGCTCTTCTCAACCACATCCCCAATCCCAGTCTTTACACAATCACACAGTATTTTTGACACAGGAAAAGTAATATTGGATTATACACAAATAAAGTGGCTAAATCCCTTCTCATTAATTGAAGTTGGCACTTTGCTTCCTTCACCTCTGCTAGGGCCTGTCCCTGTATGGTGCTGAGCACACACAACTCACCAAGCCACTCTTCTCTTGTTGAAGGAAATTCTTTTCTCTTTCTAGAGTCCCTGTCTGAATCCTGGAAGACCTGCATTCCAGCAAATGACCTTTATAGAGATAACCAGCCTGCCCTATACGGCTTCACACTGCCAGATCCAAGCTAGTTCTTTCCTGCCTGCCTGCCTGCCTGATCTTCCAGTGTGACCCTGCCTCTGTCCTGCTGGTTCCTGGCCCAAAGTCAGGAAGTAGCAAGCAGTGGGAAGCATTATATCAAGAAAGGGTCAGGAAATGTGGGGAATAGGGCCAGTGCAGAGCAGAAAGGCCAGAAACTGTCCACAACTTCATTTACTGGTTCCACAACTGGCCAGTCTCCAAAGTATTAAACATCTGTGGTTTCTCTGGTAACCTAATAGCATGAATCAGCACTGTTAACAGAGCATGCTTCTATCTGTGACATATTTCTGGGAGCATGTGGAGACAAAGTTATAGACAATATGGACATACATAAATATTAAATTCAAAAAAACCATATCACCACAGAGTGAAAGTGGAAATCACAGAAAGTAAGAAACACACACTAGTAAAAGTAACTCAATAACAGAATACATCCTATATGTTTTATAGGATACCTTTTGAGTAATATATTGATACACATTTAATCCAGGAAAACTGAAATAGAAAATTCTACATGTTGCTACTGAAGCTTAAAATCAAATATCAGCTGGAAACAGCGTATTTAAACAATACATCAATTAAGAGTTTCTTTACACTTAATTTCTTATTCATAGAATCCTAGAATATCAGGATTGGAAGGGACCTCAGGAGGTCATCTAGTCCAACCCCCTGCTCAAAGCAGGACCAATCCCCAACTAAATCATCCCAGCCCGGGCTTTGTCAAGCCTGACCTTAAAAACTTCTAAGGAAGGAGATTCCACCACCTCCCTAGGTAACGCATTCCAGTGTTTCACCACCCTCCTAGTGAAAAAGTTTTTCCTAATATCCAACCTAAACCTCCCCCACTGCAACTTGAGACCATTACTCCTTGTTCTGTCATCTGCTACCACTGAGAACAGTCTAGAGCCATCCTCTTTGGAACCCCCTTTCAGGTAGTTGAAAGCAGCTATCAAATCCCCCTCATTCTTCTCTTCTGCAGATTAAACAATCCCAGTTCCCTCAACCTCTCCTCATAACTCATGTGTTCCAGTCCCCTAATCATTGTTCTTGTCCTCCGCTGGACTCTTTCCAATTTTTCCACATCCTTCTTGGAGTGTGGGACCCAAAACTGGACACACTACTCCAGTTGAGGCCTCACCAATGTCAAATAGAGGAGAACAATCACGTCCCTCGATCTACTGGCAATGCCCCTACTTATACATCCCAAAATTCCATCGGCCTTCTTGGCAACAAGGGCACACTGTTGGCTCATATCCAGCTTCTCGTCCACCGTAACCCCTAGGTCCTTTTCTGCAGAACTGCTGCCTAGCCATTCAGTCCCTAGTCTGTAGCAGTGCATGGGATTCTTCCGTCCTAAGTACAGGACTCTGCACTTGTCCTTGTTGAACCTCATCAGATTTCTTTTGGCACATTCCTCTAATTGTCTAGGTCCCTCTGTATCCTATCCCTACCCTCCAGCGTATCTACCTCTCCTCCCGGTTTAGTGTCATCTGCAAACTTGCTGAAGGTGAAATCCACATCATCCTCCAGATCATTTATGAAGATATTGAACAAAACCAGCCCGAGGACCGACCCTTGGGGCACTCCACTTGACACCGGCTGCCAACTAGACATGGAGCCATTGATCACTACCCGTTGAGCCCGACAAACTAGCCAACATTCTATCCACCTTCTAGTCCATTCATACAGCCCATACTTCTTTAACTTGCTGGCAAGAATACTGTGGGAGACCATATCAAAAGCTTTGCTAAAGTCAAGGAACAACACGTCCACTGCTTTCCTCTCATGCACAGAGCCAGTTATCTCATCTTAGAAGGCAATTAGATTAGTCAGGCATGACTTGCCCTTGGAGAATCCACGCTGACTGTTCCAGAACACTTTCCTCTCTTCTACGTGCTTCAGAATTGATTCCTTGAGGACCTGCTCCATGATTTTTCCAGGGACTGAGGTGAGGCTGACTGGCCTGTAGTTCCCAGGATCCTCCTCCTTCCCTTTTTTAAAGATGGGCACTACATTAGCCTTTTTCCAGGCATTCGGGACTTCCCCAGATCGCCATGAGTTTTCAAAGATAATGGCCAATGGCTCTGCAATCACATCCGCCAACTCTTTTAGCACTCTCGGATGCAGCGCATCCGGCCCCATGGACTTGTGCTCGTCCAGCTTTTCTAAATAGTCCCGAACCACTTCTTTCTCCACAGAGGGCTGGTCACCTCCTCCCCATGCTGTGCTGCCCAGTGCAGTAGTTTGGGAGCTGACCTTGTTCGTGAAAACAGAGGCAAAAAAAGCATTGAGTACATTAGCTTTTTCCACATCCTCTGTCACTAGCTTGGCTTCCTCATTCAGTAAGGGGCCCACACTTTCCTTGACTTTCTTTTTGTTGCTAACATACCTGAAGAAACCCTTCTTGTTACTCTTAACATCTCGTTAGCTGCAACTCCAGGTGTGATTTGGCCTTCCTGATTTCACTCCTGCATGCCCAAGCAATATTTCTATACTCTTCCCTGGTCATTTGTCCAATCTTCCACGTCTTGTAAGCTTCATTTTTGTGTTTAAGATCAGCAAGGATTTCACTGTTAAGCCAAACTGGTGGCCTGCCATATTTTCTATTCTTTCTACACATCAGGATGGTTTGTCCC